TTTTTTTTTTTTTAGAATAAGGTGTTGTGATAAATTGAGTCCAATAATCCTAGGGTTATTTATTAAGTAAATATGGTAATTTGACCTCATGTTGGTTTTGAATTCCCTACATATTCTCGAGAGAAACATGACAGAGATATTGTGTCTTTTACAGATTTCTTAAAGCCAACATGTTTGACCTTGCACTACGTCTAAACAAGACATGAATCCATAACTAGAAAAAGCACAGACAGAGAAGTACTAAAGTGCATTTCAAACACTTTTCATGACTTGTCTCTCAGGGGCAGACCTGCAGAACCTTCGGCTAGCTGCGTGCATGAAGCCTCAGTTGAGACCTTCAGAACACTAAGCAAGTAAAATCCATCTTTATCTGAAGTAAGGTCTCACAAAACACACAAGATGTATCCAAAACGTGTGACAAAAGTCCAGACGCTGCGATTTCAAAATCAGACAGTGACGATTTTAAAAACATAAATTTTCATTCTGTGTTCTGTAAACAAATCAAAACCATGTTTCGGCACACCACACACAGAGACCCCCGCTCTTCTGCCTGCTTTTGCAAGTATACACACCAGCAATTCCACGATTCTCTAAGCAGCCCTGCCGATTGAGATAGCGGGATTGATTAACTTGTCAGCTTTTCTGACAGAATCGAGCCCCTGTCTTGACTACGGCAAATTACTCTGCCTTGATTAGGCCCACCTGCAGCTCTTTTTTTGGAATCAACATAGCGCCAGCATCGCGCCTATGTCGCATCACTCCACCGGTTTTCGCATCTGACCTCAACTGAATGGTAATTCATTGCAGCAATCATCCAGTGCTGGCGCAGTGTTGTTCCAGCGCTGGCTCAGTATTGGCTCTGGTAATTAAATCGGGCTTGCGTGCGTCCTCTGGGAAGAAGGGACGGGGAAACTGTGACCAGGTGGTGGCAGAATGCAGGACCTGTCAGACTAGCTGATGACCGTTTTAATTCTGCTCTGCCTGGGGCTATAATTGATATTTACCAGAAAGGTTAATTGTAGCAGTGATCTGTTTAAATTAGAGTAGAGATCTGGAGACCAGGGCCAAGACCTGCAAGCCACTGGAGACACGCATGTGAGTTGCTCAAGTAATACACACATACGCTCATACTTATGCACACACACTGGGACTAGATCACACACACACTTGCATTTTTAAGAACGGACTGTTCACATAGTTCTGATTGACCAACACAGTGTTCCAGCTGTGCTGCAATATGTGTGTGTGTAAAAATATGTACACAAAATATTAATATTTATAAATTATTTTTCTTGTAAAAAGTGGCTATAATTACTAATCTTATTCACAGACAATGATTTTCAAAAAGTTATTTAACAGAGGCATAACTATCAGTAGGTGATACTTCACTCAGAGTACTTATACTATAGATGCCATTAAAGTAATAATGAAAATATACCAGCTTTGTTGTTTCCTAAAAAAATTACGACAACATATTGCGATGGGGATGGGGAAAATGTCAAATTTATGTATTTATTCATTTTATCATGCAATGGAAATGTATTCTCGTGCATATGAAAGCGATTGCAGATTGCGCAAAACACCCC